CTATATGAATTTGGTTCTATTATCTAAGATCAACAATATCTTAAGAGAGACTAAATTATTTATAAAAGAAACTATTAACAACTGATGTTAAGCCAAAATTTTATGCTTTTAGCACATTACTCGTCCTATATTTTGTTAGTTTAAGTGAGTTATTATGCGACAATTGCGCTAAATTGTGTTGTTCTATGTGTAGGAACATCGGAATAAATCATCGATATTATGATAATTTTTTTCCCTTCTAAAAGGCCCCAAATTAAAAATTGGCTTTAGGCCACCAATCTTCTTTGGCCGCCCCTGCTTTTAATGGGCGTTTAGAAACATTTTCCGAAACAAATTCAAAAGCTTATGCTTTTTGAGTAATCTATCTATATTTATATCTATCTATATTATTATAAAAGCATGAATACAATGTCGGTTTGCAAAAATAACCTTATAATATTAAGAATAATAACTCATAATAAAAGGACATAATCGAAATTCTATATATTAGCCTTGTAATCCTATTAGTTTTAGAACATAATACTACACGTTAGGAATCCTACATGATTATTTTTAGGAATCCTATTAGTATAATTACTTTCGAGTTGTCTAATTCATATAAAATTGAACAAGTAAATATTTTTAGTCATGTAATCCTATTACTTTTAGGATATAACTCTTAAAAAATTTTATTACTAATTTAATTTGAAAAGGTATTATAATGTCCTATTAATAATTTAATTTGAGAATGTATTATATTATCCAAATCCATTTAAAAAATGAGAGCCTATATTTTTATAAAAGCATAAATACAATAATAATATACCAAAATAGCTCTAAAATATTAAACGGAAGAACTCATAAGGAAAGGACATAACTGCAATAACATATTGGACTACAATACCTTCTATGCTAATTTTTAATATTAAGATTTTAAAATTAATAAAATTTTATCTATTAAATTCTTATTAAAAATATTTAGGAAGGTTTAATAAAATCAATTTCACAAGAATCCTCTGTATTGGCAATACATTACCACTCCATAATGTCCAATACTAAGAAAAAATAAAAGTAATATCAAATGAACTGCATAAAGAGTTGAAATTGAGGGAAAAAAAAATACTCCCACGATAATATATTTTTATATTATATTTGAACTATTTTCCTACTCAAATAATATTTTTTTTATCAATTTTTTGTGTAATATTAAAAAATACCTAATTATTAAATAATAACTAAGAAAATATTTAAGAATATAAATGTGTGAGAAAGAGAAAAAGATAGTTGGTAAGAGTCAATACCACTAATGATTCTACAGACATAAAGATCTAAAATTAAAATGTTATATCACTCTTTTACTCTTTGAAAATAAAATTTATGGTGGATAAAAATATAATTAAGATTAAATATTCAAAACAAGAGATGAACTAATATTAAGATCTTAATCAGCATATAATAAATTATTTTTTATGTTAAAATCAAATAATTAAATCTTTTAATTAATTATTTAGCAAGAGAATCCAATTCAATTATTTTTTAGATTGATCACATGAGTAAAATTCTTATTCAAGTAAAAACAAATCTTAGGGTACATAAATCTATTCCATAAAAAGAGCGTTAAAACACAAAGTTAAAAAGGTTAATATATTATTAAGAATCAAAATGCTATATAAGTGTCTAAGAAAGCACAATCAAAGCTAAATCCTAAACAAGAACAAACTTTCAAGACTATATGATAAAGAGCCGACTCTACTATAACGGGATTATTCTTTGTAAATGCCTCCGGCGGAATCGAAATAATATTTCTATGTCATGCATTACTTGCAAATATCATATCAAGAGGCATGACACTGTTAGCAATAATAGCAAGTGGTGTACCAACAACGATTTAATTGTGAAGCCACTCACTTTAGATTTGATATACCTCTTCAAACAACTTAAATAACCATCACAAATATATCAAAGCAGAGCAATGGTGCTAAATTTATAAGGAAAGCAAATTTGATAATATGGGATGAAACACTTATGGCTAAGTGTCAAACGGATTTCTAGAGATACATTAAATTCTAATTAACCGTTTGGTGAAAAATTAATGGTTTGAGATGTAATTTATGTCAAGTACTACCGATAGTTCCAAAATCGACAAAAGCAGAGAATGTAAAAGCTAGCATGCCAAAGTTATACTTCTGACCTCAAATTAAAAGATTTAACTAACAATAAATATAAAGTAAGAACGGATCCAGTATTTAGTGTCTTCTTGCTTCGCGGCGGAAACGAATAAGATCATCCAATAAAAGATGATTTGGTTCTTCCTAAACACTTGGTTATCAATCCCAATGGTAATAGTAGTACATTTAGTAAGAGAAATATTTCTATCATTAGATTAAAACGTAATTTGTGCAAACCACATGATAGAATTAAAAAGACATCTTAGCTAACAAAAACGAATATGTTGATCAATTCAATAAAAGGTTGATTGCAAAATTTTATAGTAAAAATAAAATATTTTTTTGTTTTTGACTCAACATAAAATGATACCAATAATTATTATCAAGAAGAATACTTAAATATTTTAATACCAAACGACCTTCTACCATATATGTTTGGTTGTCAAGTTTATTATTTCTTCCGTATGTTAGTATCACGATATATATAATAGACTAAGTTGATCTTCCGTTGTATATAAGTTGATTTTGAAGAAAAATATGTCTGTCATGCTGCTGAAAAACTTAAATACCCCGAATAACTTATGTAATAGCACACAAATGGTATATAGAAGTTTTGACAATAACGTCATAAATGCAAAAATTATGGTACTGGTCAATGTGTTTCTAAGTATATTCTTATCCTTGAATTCATCTTTCTTCTTCCAAAACTAAGGAATATTCTTTTAAATTTGTGTGAAAATAATTTTTAGTATGTTTATGTTTTGCAAATATAATAAATAAAGTACAAGGATAAACATCCTAAATATTGGACTATATTTACCGTAATATATTTTCTTACACGAATAACTGTATTTTGCACTTTCAAGAGGGATATCAAGATCGACAACAAGAGTTCTGGTTAAAGCAGAGCAACCAAAGCATTAGGAGGAAACATACACAAAAAAATATTGTCCACAAGTAAGTATTCGTTAAGATACCACCACATTAAACACTTTTAAACTATAATACATAATTATCTAACTAACATGACCAAATTGATCATTTGTGTAAGTTTTGATGATGTCATTTTATTTTAAATTCATGTATATGCTAATGTAATAATATTTTTCGGCATTTAGATGATTGTTGTATTATTATACATAAAATCTCTCTTATTAATTAAAATTTATTGTTCTTTCATATAAATAAATGTTTAAATCATCACGTGCCATTATTAACGTGCAACGCATGTTCATAGATACTAGTATACTAATATTTGGTTTCACGACCAACTCAACTGGTTTTGGGTTTTGGATAGTAGCCTAATAGCGTATTTGGTTGTCCTTTCTAAAATCAGCTTATTTTGATAAGCGATTTTCTTGAAAAAATATTTTTAATAAAAAGTACTTTATGAGAAGTAGTTTATATTTAGCTAATCAATTTGAAAAATACTATTGAACAACAATTATTGTTTAGACAAACTTTTAAAAAGTATTTCTTTGTATATTTATTTCAAAAGTGCTTCAAAAAAGTAGAGCTACTTTTTTTAGTTTCTCAAAAATTATTTCTACTCAAAAGCACTTTATTTTCTTCTAAAAGTTTGGCCAAACACTTTAATTTTAAAAAGAGAAAACACTTTTGATCAAAGGTAACCAGAAATAGCTTGGCGAAACTAGCTATAATTTTAGAGCTTTTAAAACGGGCTGCCTCGGCCGAGTTCAGCCTTAACAGGTATAGAATTCCACAGCCCAAATTAAAGGGTTGCTAGTCCACGCCACGGTGATTTAAATTTTGAATTTGCAAACTCAAAAACTTCAGAATTTCAGACAAACCCCACCTTGATAGAAAGGATTTTGGCCCCTCAAATATATGAAAAGACGTGAAGGGTTAATTAACTAGGTTATGATTTTGTTTCCCAAAAGCTCAGTGTTTGTGCGTTAAAAGTAAACTGGCTCGAATATGCTTGTAAACCATGAAGGAGTAATTAATGTCTCTAAAAGAAAAATAAAAAATGATGGCAACTGATAGAGAATGAAATGAAAGTTTTGGTGCTAAAGCATTAACAGGAATAGTGGATTCTTACCAGAACATAAATATTCATCTGCTTGATGTGAAATGGACAACCCATCAAATTACATATTTGGATAAATTATAAGCCTAACATCTGGCCAGTAACAAATACTTTTAACAAAGAATGAATAAAAAAATTAAGGCCTGGAAACTTTGAACTGTCGTTAGATAATGTTCTTGCGTGATGCATGGGATTCATAAACACTGAGTTGTTTAATATTTTGCTGATAATGGGACTCTTTTGTTTCGATTATGTATATATATAAAAAAAAACAATTCAACATATCCATGAAAGTGAGGGCTAAAACGGTTCAAAAAAAAACTCGTATAATATTATTTGATTTGGATTAACCTGTAAGATTTTTCTAAAATGTCTCACATCATTAAAATTTATTAAAATTATTTAACTCTAACTTCTTTATGCTTTATACTTTTTATGTGGAATTTGGTAACGTACGCGCAACAGAGACCATTCATTATACGTTCCACTAAGGCATCCCTAAGAATTAGTACGCAAGTAGTGTTATTGAGACACATCATTATTTTGTCACCTTCCACTAACACAGTGTGCTCATATTTTGTTCCCCACTTTGACTTAATAAATTTCCTCATCATAGTTTCCACTTAAACCCCAAAAGGCAAATGCCCTCGTTTTTTTTGGCTTTTTCGGTTTCATATCAACGAGAAGAGTGAGTTGGTTCTGGTCAGCCTACGAGGAAGATAGTTAATTTTTGGAGGGAGGAAGCCGAGGGTCTATCGAAAACAGTCTCTCTATTCATGTGGTAGGAAGTCTTCGTACACATTTTCTCCCCAGATCCCACTAGTGTGATTGTATTAGGTTGTTGTTGTTCGTAGGTTTCATTTCAACCGTTCACATGCAAAAAGGAAATTGGGAAGAAAGATTTGGAAAAGATATCATGTAAACCGCGTTATGTGTACTAGTTACTAATTAAATAGTGTTGCATGTCTTCCATGAAATTCATTTTCTTGATACCTTTTTGACTTTGTGTGAATTTGATTGCCGCAACAAAAAGAAACTTACAAACTGCCTTTTTTGCCATATTGTGTTTGTGCCCATATGTCCGTAATAAGCATGTATAAAATGGAGCAATAGCCTGCCCTGTTGCAGCAAAACCTAGGAATTACTATTACAACTGAAAAACATAGTAAGATTAAGATCAGTTCTTGTAGCCATGGCTGGCCCTTTCTTTCATTTATTTGTGGCTTTTCTTTGCTTTTCTCATGCAATCCCAGTCACAAGTAAGTTAATTTTTCAACAATCTCACTTAGTGCAACTTCTTTATTTTATTGATCAATGATTATTTATGAGCCACGATTTTTATTTACAGGGAGCAGAAGTTTGCTAGTGGACATATCTCAAGAACATAAGGTGTTGGAGAATACCCATATGGTACTTAATTCTCTTATCTTTAGCCTATAGAAAAGCTATTATATTTTCCTTTTACATTTGGAATCATATCAGTCTGATGGAAATTTATTTTTTTAAATTTAAAATTGTTAGGCAAATATGGAGGAGAGGTTGGAAGTAGAAGAAACAATAAGAAGAGTAATGGAAGCTGAGATCAATGATTATCCAGGTTCTGGGGCGAATAATCGCCACACGCCAAGGCCACAACTTGGGAGAAGCTGTGTCGAATGCTAAGATTATACATAGATATATGCATGTTTCAGATATTTAATGCATAGGAGTACTATGTTAAGAAAAGATGTAACTAATTAGCACCATTTTCATTTTAATTGGCTCATATTTTGAATAGCTTAAGGGGTTCATATCATCTTTTGTTGTTATGGAGTACATTTTCTGAGAGAGGAGAAGCTAACTATGTATTGTGTGGACTTTTACTATGTTCGTGGGTGAGTTATGGCAATTTCAAATTCGTTCTCTAGATTATGGAATGATATTTAAGTTAGGAATATTACAGGTCACTTGCTTGTGTTTTCATAGCTTTCCGATGCCAATCAGAAGTCCTACATCTCATGACCTGAAAGAAGGAAGGAGAAAGAAATTAAGAATATTATTGAAGGGGCGAGCAGATTTATCTTTACATAAATAGCCGATCACATTCATTATTTTTTTTTAGCCACGTACATAGTTTATACATAAATTATGCATATATTATACACATGAGTTAATGACGATAACATGGTGATTATGTTTTATATAGGAGTATATTTATGAACGTTTTTGTTGGTTTAGTAAAATTATACGGGTTCTATTACTTAAAAATCAAGTATCATCTTAAATTTATAATAAATAATTAGTAATCATTCATATTCAGATTCATATATTGACCCTGTTATATAGTACTTTATTTTATTTAAGCGGATTCCATAGTTTCATCGTATAAGTGTAGAAAAGTTACGTTTATGTGTCAATACGAGAAGTTTCCCCTCAAAATCTGAAATCACTGTATTTTTCTTTAGAAAGAACAATTTAATGAGTTTCCCACACCCATGAAAAGTTAAAATCTGAAGTCTAGCGAAAACAAATTCAGGCATGTTAACGAGTCATATTGATACAAGCCCTTATTACCAAGAAATTACCACCTTTTTCATCAAGTGCATGCATGATAGTATTTGCTAATGTCGTCACCCATTCGCAAAGAGTTAATCATGTCAAATATTATTAACTACAAATCAATCTCTTTCAAGAAAGTTGTAGTTAGATAACCAAAAAGTTAATAATGTTATAATATGCATATATTAGGTAAACTAAAGTCAAGCACTTAATTAATATCTGAGCGATTTGGCATAATTAAGACTACATGTTAGATGGAGAAGTGGATTTTGATGTGGTAACCATTCACTATATTCGTTGCTACTCGCTTGTTTTCATCTGTGTCGTGCTCCGCTTTCAGGGTCTCACGAAAAACTGGTGGTAAAGAAATCATATTTTTTATACATTTGAAATGAAGAAAACATTTCTTGAAGTTGTAGAAAATTCTGCCAAAGGCCCATCAATATAATATAACTCCTAATCGTAGTAGAATTAGTACATTAGAAGATATTTAACTTATTCCTGGAAGAAATTACCCTACTATTTCTGTTTGATATCCATGTCGTTATCACGTAAAATAGTAGTAGCTAGTAATATTCAACAGTGAAAAGAAAGTAGAGTAGTTGACCAAACTTCCTGGCTGATTAATTTCAAGCATTTAATATTCTTGATAATTTGAAATTTACTTATGTAATCATGATCATCATTATTGTTACAGTTCTTACGTCTATCATTATGGAACCTAACAGGTATATTTCTGCTTGTGCTGTTTTGCTGTCCCAAAAAATATATTCTTAGATTAACCAAATAGATACTCCATAGTTGACCATACAACTTCATTGATTTAATCGAATATTTCTACAGCTTATAATTAATTGGTTGATATGATAATAAAGTGGACAAACAAAGAAAGCCCCACTCAGTCACTGGTGTACATATACTAACAATTAAAACAGCACAAAAACGCCCATGTGTTCTGAATCAAGTAGCAACGAAATGCTGCTATTTTGCAATGAACTAATAACATTACAAAATAATAAGAAAATCTAAGTTCGAAGTTAAAGAAAATATTTTTAGTAGAAAATCTACCGTCCAACTTCATCTGATGAAGGACCCGTGGCTGCTGGTGTAGGGGGAGAAGCATCAGTCTGATTAGGGTTTAAAAATCCGAGCTTTTTTATGAGCTCTTTAGCAATTAACTCGTTAGCACTATCAGAAGGATGGTATTCATCCCAAAACACATATTTGCTTCTGTCACTGCACAATGTCGATGCTGGAATACACGTTAAAGCTGGCCTAATTCTTCCGAATGAGCAACACGGTGAATCAGAGTTACTAAAACCTGCAATATTTCCGGAGGAATTGGTTATTTATTTTACACTGACAATATAAGGATTTTTTACTCGATCGCTATAGTTTAGCCTGCTATAGCATGTTAGTTATCAATTTTACATGGATTTTAAATCAAAATTTTCCATGTAAGCCGATTCATAGGGAATGCTCTACCCCTTCCTTAGATTGCATCAATTTTTGCCTCGATCAGGCTTCATCTTCTTATCGATTACTGGTTAATGTTTATCATAAATTTTTTATGTGAAACTACCTTATATATAGTCATTGGCATAATGATGTAAATGTTATTAACACCGTTTATACACAATTTAAACTCTTTATTAGATTAACCTAATATTTATGTAATTCTAGAAATAATTTTTAGCTTCATGCAGACTGTTAATAACAATGTGTAGTATAAGCTTGTACCATAATTGCCGGGATTGGTAATGACATCGTTGACAACATCATAAGCATCTCCAAACTTGTAGCTAGCATTTGGAAGAGTGTTGGACAATTCTACGACAAGTTCGCTTGTTGCTTTGTTGAAGGCTAGAGCCAACTGATTAGTCTTGTCTTGACACTCACCATCTGTACTTAGAACCCTTTGAAGTGGAATACACCCCATTGGTCCTAGCCCAAACACCATCAACTCCCTTGCCCCCAAACTATGCAACAACTAAAACAAAATTAAAAAATAAATAACGTTATTGGCTCAAAAATTACGAATTTATTCAGGAAATTGGCAATGAGAAAACTGGTAATGGCTTACTATAAGTTGTGCTCTGAGAGTTTCCATTAGGTATTGAATGAAAGATTTATCATTGTACGTCCATGAGTCACTGTAAACTGGCATTAAGTAATTGTTGATGAAATCATTGCTTCCCAAGGCTACCACGTATCGTGCTTGTTGGAAAAATTTCTCAGCTTCTTTGCTTCCTATTTTTTCTCTTATTAAGTCTTGCGTTCCTTGAAACAAATCTATTTGCTTGTATAAGGAAAACCTCTGTATCTGCACTTACAATTGGTCAAACTTCAACAGTGTCTAGACACAAACTACACACTAATATTCAATGATATATAGGAGATCGAGTGACTTACGAAATAGGTGCCTGTTTCGTTTAGAATGCCACCACCTCCAGAGGCAAAATTGACTCCGTCCTCCAATATGACATCTTCTGTTAACGATTGATTTAGATATGCTGGTGGTCTAGGAAGTCCCATTTCATCACCTGCACGATATGTATAGTTAACATTGGCTTAGGTGCGTACATATCATCTAATTAATCACTTCCATGAAATCGTAAAATATTAGATTGGAAATATTGTTACCTATTATGTCAGCAACAGTACGGCCATTACAAAATCTTCCATTAGGCAATCCATTTCCAAAATCAATACCATACCATGGCAAGTTAGCGCGAGCAAGGCTTTTGGAGAGGAAGTTGTTGTTGCCAACATCTGAAAGAGAGTCTCCGAAAATGAATTGAACAATCTTGCAATTGCAACCTCCAATTAGAGCATGAGTTAAAATGGTAACCAAAATCGGCAAGGTCAGAGTCAGCTTCATGTTAACTTCTAGTTACTGTTTTAACGCTTTGATAGTTTATCTTAGGAATAATGAGGCAGGCATTCTTACCTTTTAAATGTTACAAAGAAAAGGAAAGTGCAAGAATCTGGTAGACCAATCCAAAGCATCAGCCGGGGAAGTTGGGATTTTTGGAGAGAAATGGAGATAAACAAGGGTAGCTAGAGTTTGATAGACCAACCGTCTAAGAAATTCAAACCTACTATATCTACCTTGAGTTCTGTTACAACGGTTCACGTGTAACAAACATAAGTTGCAGTATTATTTATGGGTATTTAGATTTAGTTTTCTAATATCATATGCACGAAGTGATGAGTTGACCTACCGCTGTTGACGTTAGTTTGAATTTTGGAGTTGTAATCATGCCTTGGACTTGTAAGAGTTTCCGGTGGAGAGATTGAGAGTTTTGATATAAATTTCAAGTTCCTTTTCAAGTTTCGAATGAACCCCAAGAGTTTTGATTCCGGTCCAAACCTGAGTAAAGGTGTTAGCCAATGATCTTGGCGGATAGAATCACTTGTGATCCAAATAAAACTGACGTGAGGCCCAGTTACGCTTTTACACAAATTGTTGGGGCTTTTGCATCTACATCCGATTTTGGGGTCACAATTGAATCTATACCGACTTTACAAAAGAAGTTTGCAAGCGTACCCACTTTACGATTAACTTCAAACTTATTGGGTCTGGAATTAAAAATAATTAGTCTGAAGTGAAAAAATTACACTTCAAATGCACTTAAGGCCAAATAGGTCTGAAGTGCAATCAATTGTTTCATGCGCATAAGGCTAATAAGTCTGTAGTGAAAAACTGCACTTCATATGCACTTAAGGCCAAAAAGTCTAAAGTGCAACAAACGTTTTCATTCACTTAAGGCCAATAAGTCTGAAGTGAAAATTTGCACTTCAGATGCACTTAACACCAAATAGGTTTGAAGTGTAACTAATGGTTTCATGCACTTAAGGCCAATAAGTCTGAAGTAAAAAATTGCACTTCAGATGCACTTAAGGCCAAAAAGTCTGAAGGGCAACAAACGTTTTGCTACACTTAAGGCCAATAAGTCTGAAGTGAAAAATTGCACTTCAGATGTACTTAAGGCCAGGAGGTCTGAAGTGCAACAAACTTTTTGCTACACTTAAGGCTAATAAGTCTGAAGTAAAAAATTGCACTTCAGATGCATTTAAGGCAAAATGTCTGAAGTGCAACAAATATTTTGCTACACTTAAGACTAATAAGTTTGAAGTGAAAAATTACACTTCATATGCACTTAAGGCCAAAAGGTCTGAAGTGCAACCAACGTTTTTATGCACTTAAGGCCAAAAGGTCTGAAGTGCAACCAACGTTTTTATGCACTTAAGGCCAAATAGGCCTGAAGTGTAAATTGCCCCAGAAACAGAAATTTGTTCTTCGAATTATAACAATCCAATATACGATTTAATACCTAAATCTACTCCAAATGAGCTCAAATTTGA